GACATGAAACCTGTGTATAAATACTATGTCCTTAAATGATAATCTTAAATCAACAAAACCTACAGAGCAGAGTTCACCACACACTCCGTTTATTGTTACCTTCCCTATTTGGAATGGAATGTTATTCTGATGCAATGTCTCATATTTAATGGCGCTAAGTGACGCACCCGTATCAACTAACCAGTTATATGATCTGTTACCAAGTGACAAAGGAATAGAATTATAATTATTATAATAACAAATATTGACATGATTATTCTTGTTGGTCACGAAAAAATTGGCTGGCGTTAGATTCAGTAGGCGTACTATTATTTTGTGTATCACGTACCATAATTGATGTTACGTAGTTTTCTCTGCGATTACTTCGAGCATAATTATTATGTATGTACCTACCTCTAGAGTACCGGTTACCTCTATAGTAGACACCTTGCGGCTGCCCACGCGCTCGAGTAGAGTGACTATGACTACGCTGACGGAACTGGCCACGCTGGTTATCGTAGACACCACGTGCCTGAAAACATCGTCCTCTAGATGAATATGACATATTATTACGGGTGTATTCCCTGTTCGTCAATTTCATGATACTGTCCTCTGGACACGTAGATGTCTGCTCATCAGCCGCACCTCGGATAGCATCCCTCAATGTTTCATAGTTCCTGGCGGAAATAATAGTGCTTATGTGCCTATTTCGTAACCCGGTGGCAAAACGTTTTATAGCCATTTTCTCATTCAGTGGTTTAATTACGTCATACTTTTTTGTATCCCCATCGGCCTGCGAAATGGTCAAGTTAACAAATAAGTTTTCAATTTCCTTACCGTAGTCCTCGATATCTCGCTGATTTTGTTTACACCGCATCAATTGTTCTTGTAGGGCTGTGAAAGACTTTTTTGAAATTAAATATTTTTGCATATCATCAACAAGGAGTTGTACTGTATCATAATGCTGAGCTAATCGTAACTTGGCATTCTCAGACAACCTGGTTTTTAATATAAAACTGATAAGAATTGGTATTGATTTGTCATCAAGTAGAGAGCTATACAACTCTATAGCAGAAATTAATTGTTTTGTAACATTTTCTTTATCATCCATGACTGGAAGTAAAGCGACTGCCGTCTTAATATTAAAAGACTCCATTTTATCAATCACCATAGATGGGTTACACAAAATTTTAATCTCTTCAAATACCTTCTTAATTTGTTCCGTGAATTTATTTATTAAACTAAGTTCAGTTTGACTCAATTTCTTTATGTTACTTCGTATATCTAATAACTGTCTTTCAAAACTTTGTAAAATGATATTAGCTTCTTTATATTTTTTCGAACACATAGGGCCTCGACGGCGCTGTGGTCCTATCTTTACAAGATATGTCCGTATTTCAAACAAGCTACTATAATACTTTTCTAATTTTTCTGCCATCAATACATATTGACAAATGCGATATATATTATATAGTATGTTATACACCACTAAAACCTAAAGTCCTCTAAATAAGTCCATTATACTGATTACTATACCGTTACTGTTACGTAGTACACTATATATTTTCCGAATCGCACCGTTACACAGACACTTTTATATATTTTTCCTTTAGCAATATACTGACACTTCCGCTTATCGACACTGTATCATACTATTCTCGCGTCTGGCTGATCCTCCTTGGTACGGGGTGAACCATGGGCCTCGTGTCGTCGCCGAAACCAACTGCTTGACCGTCGGAGGTTATGTTCATGTATCTCTCTTCGTATCCACTCTCTGTGACATTTACCATACAGCCGAATCGCATAGTATATTAATGCGGCAATCAGGATAAGACATATCACCCCCAGGATACAGGTGATGACGCTGGTATGTTGATACATTTGCTCCAATGATGAAGCGTTGTTACCACCGCTAGCATTTTGTGCGATGATTACTGGTTCTTCCTTAGACTGTTGCTTACCCATTTTTCGCAACAAAATAACCGTTCCCTACACTTCTCAATACGCGATAATATAAAATAACTCATAATTGCGATGTGATTGTGACAATGTTTAATATCACAATACCTTATTAGGCGATCGGAATGCAACGCGAACCTGATCGCTTACTGGCAGGGTCGCCATGTAAGGTTGGGTGTCGAGAGAGAAATTAAAGATGTTGTTAGATCAACGATCAGATTTATTCTCCAGTAAATACAATAGTGATCACTACTTTTATCTTAAGATAGACATACGTATTATATATGTATTACTACACTACAGTAGTAAAACAATAAACACCAGTTATGATTACATGCACCGGTAGTATAAGCATCATGTTTCTAAGACCTGTACAAATAAAATAACATAATACGAAGAACTATCTACGGTATCACAATACCATGGATACGTAGTTAGTATCTAGCTGGGACTTTTTGCGAGATGTTAAAAGTGTATTAACAAATAAATTACCAGTTTTTAAATCAACCACACTGCAATGACATTCAATAATTATATTTGTTAATTAGTTAGTTATTATATGACTAGCTGACCCGCGCAACTTCGTCTGCGTCTCTCAATAGTAATAAATTTTCTCCGTTTTTGAAACATTCTTCATTGGTGTTCCGCTCCTATTGGTCTTAGCGTAATGATATATAGCCTATAGCCTTCCTCGATAAATGGGCTATCTAACACTGAAAGATTTTTTTAAATCGGACCAGTAGTTCCTGAGATTAGCGCGTTCAAACAAACAAACAAACAAACAAACTCTTCAGCTTTATAATATTAGTATAGATTATTAACTTGTATGCGGACTGCGTATTTCGGCAAATGTATTATATTAGTTTCAACACATAAGATACAAGGTTACTGGTTAAGTCGACCTAGATAATTTAAGGCGTTATAGTTGCCATCATTTCTGATAGATTTCGCTATGAAATACCATATCCCAAACCTAAAATTTTTCAAGATATTGGACTTTTAAGATTTCTTTGTAAAAATTACCGAAATTGCGCCTAATACAATTTTTTTGGGTGTAACAAAATTTATTCTCATAAAGATTTACATATTCACTTACATGAGAAGACATTTTGTATGAGATACAAACATTTGCCGAGCGGCGTCACACTAATGCAAATTAGAAACTGAGGTATACACAATTGGCAAAGATATTCAATTGGCAATTAAAAAGGGGAAAAAAAAGGTGTGAAAACTCTGTAACTATACAGATAAAAACAGGGATCAAGCTTACCTGGATGTGACATGTATTGAGTTATGAGCATAGTTTACCGTTACTGTTTTCATCGTATTTAAGACGTAACTCTAGTAATTTTTAAATGTTTGCATGGTTTTTGCTTCTTTTATATTTTTAAAAAACTTATTGTAATTTTTCGTATTAGTATGCATTTAAAGTAATGATAGGTTTGTTTAATATTCATAATTTTGGTATTTTTATATATTTTGTGAGTGGAAGTTAGATAGGTAATTGTAATTAAATAGTTTTTTATAAGCTTGTTCTGTGGTATTTGTAAATTAGGTTTGTATGGACCGCTGTGCCTCATATTGCTATTAAATAGTCCAAATATAGTTTAATTAAAGCATTGTATTTGTATTGATATTTTTAACATACCTGAGCTGTTCATACCTGTCAGAACTTTTTTTTTTTTATAATATTATAATTTTATTTATATGTGGCTTCCACGTCAGGTGCTTATCTAAAATTAAGCTTAAGCACTTCTCATTAACTACTAGTAATATTGTTATAATAGTTTTATTGTTAATAGTAAGAGGTCCATGATGCGATATCTTTTTATTTTTAGCCGAAAATATGATGTAATTTATTTATGTTTATAGTTAACAGGTTATATTGAAACCAATAATTCAACCGATTTATTCTTTTATTTTATTCATAATTATTCAACAAAAACAGTTAAAAACATAAAATAAAGGATACAAATTTTATAAAAAATCCAATATCTTGAAAATGGTTAGGTTTGGGATATGGTATTTCATAGTGAAATCTATCAGAAATGATAGCAACTTAACAGACCCCTTAAAGTATTTAGGTCGACTTACCCAGTAACTGTATAATAGTAGCAGCATTAAATAATTGTGGTTTTGATCATTTTACGAAATGTCGTTTAGTAGTTTGGTTTGAAATTCTAATACAGGGATCGATATTATAAACTGTTTCCATGATGACGTCACCATATTCTCATTACGGACATATGTGACTTTATTGTTAACAGTTTTCTCTCGAATAAAATCTCCTTTGTAATCTAAAATAACTCGGTTCAGCCAACAGTAAGTTTTGGCACTTCTCCAAACTACGTAGCACTCAATGCTTGTCTAAATCACTAGACAAAAAGAACATTAAGATTAGAATACTAAGTGAGGGTTAACATACCGTTTAATACATTATTCTAAATTATGGTTCCACCATCAAATGTTATGTGTTATTTTATTACATTTCGATCTTAATGTTGAAGTGCATCGTTAAATCTTTATTATACCACATATATTACATTTTAACACATTTTTATATATGTGGACATTTAGGTAAAGTTTGTTATTAAGGACTCGAACCTTCCAGAATAACACGATTTGTCACCATGAGCCGATGTTTTACGCGAAGTAGTCTTGAACCTATAACTTTAAATGTGGCAAGAGAGATGTTTGTGTCTTTGTTCGTTAACATAAATTTTCATTTTCAAGCATTTTTGTAAACACACGGGCAACGTCTTGGTTGTCAGATCAACTAATTCTCTCATTTTGTAGTTTATTTATTAGGTCTCTAATATCATATGTGGCAAGTTCAACACTTACTTGCTTTGGCTCCTTTTTTTAAACTTAATTTTATTTAAGAAAAGGAGCCAAAATTGCATTTTCCATAAAAATGGGGTTATATAAATAGGACTTCTCTGGAAAAAGCTTTCAATAAAATAAATATACACGGTCTCAAATCATTCTTCTGGTTTTTGTTAGAACCAAGAATGTATCTATTAATTACGTGAAAATTAACATCATTCTATCAATTGTTGCAGGCAAACATTAAAGCCTCTATCGGGGTCAGCACCTTCAGTACGGGCTGCAGCGTTAAATACGTCATTAACGGGTGATACGTCAGACACCAAAGATGGGAAGCTTCCCAGCAAGTCGCGGCAGAAAAAGTTCCAGAGACACTTCCCGCAAGTTGGTCCCGAGGAGAAAGTGCTTAATTGTAAGTAGGACCCCAAATATTTAGAGGATTAATCTCTTAAGGCTTGCTCCAGACTGGCTGAAATTTAATCAGAAGTATATTAAGTTTAAAATGTCATAAAAGTTTTCGCAACTAACCTTATTCAGTTTTACCATAAGCATAGTACGCAGTGTTACAATTTTCTATGAGGTTTTATCAGTCATCCTTATGGTATTTATCAATAAAAAAAGGTTTTTAAGCATGCATGCATGAGCGTGGAGACCGAATCCAGAAATTCCGTAACGAAAATAACCTAACACACCCCACGTGATACTTTTTAGTTTTGCCATCTATCGATGAATAGTAGAACTTTTAATGACTTTTTGAAATATCACGCTTGTCTCTTTAGTTCAGCAACTCGCCTCTAGGTGGCATTGGTTGTATTGGCGTTACTGCGCATGCGTAATCCCCCTCTTCGCCCCGCAATCTAATTAATATCAAAAAAAAAAACAAAAAAAAAACATTCTGCATAAATAAAATAAATAAATAATTACTAGCTGACCCGGCAAACGTTGTATTGCAAATCAAAAAAAAAATAGGGATGGGTCACCCTTACCATTTAGGGGTATGAAAAATAGATGTTGGCCGATTCTCAGACCTACCCGATCTTCCAAACTTTCATGAGAATCGGTCAAGCCGTTTTGGAGGAGTACGGGAACGAACATTCACAAAATTCTCGTGTCACACACGAGAATTTTATATAAGATAATTGCATAAGTTGATAAAAAATGCTATGCAATAGCTTTACCGAGTGCCACACGTCTTTTTTTTGTTAGACTCTTTAGTCGATGGTAAGAAAAGCAGGTACAGGTCAATTGCTAAACAAGTTCTTTTAATGTTGTTGCTTTCCCTCAAACCTCCATCAATTGTGTAACTCAACAATAATTGTGATTAATGAGTTATGATTGTTGTTTAATGTAGTAGTTTCAAATTAAGCAAGGAGACTCATCCAATAACACAAATGTAAAACGAATTTCACTCTATCTGGAGTCTTTATTTTTTATTGACCATAATATACTAAATAACTTAAGCCAGAAGTTAAAAAAATATATTATAAAACTTTTCCTTATCTGCTTTAATAGTATTGTGTTAATTGTAAACTGACCTTAATTATATTCTCTTGAATACATCTAAACAAAGAAATGAAATTGAACTATTTGTAAATTAAAATAGTAGTTTTTTTTCTAAATACATCACAAAATTATTATTTTTTGTCTGTAAGTCTAACTCTGTCTGTTCCTCTTTGACTAATCTCCGAAACGGTTTGACCGATTTGTACGGAACTTTCACTGGCATTTTCCAGTGCTTGCCTGCTTGAAAAAATGTGCTAGCTGATGTTATAAGGGGTAACATAGGATACTGTTAGAAGTAAAATTGTGGGCAACATAAAATGAAAAAAATGTACATGCAAGCGTAGCCGCGTCAAGAACATCTAGTCTTACTTGAACAAAAGATCCCAGCCGAAGAATGCGCTATTAAGTAACTAATGAAAGTTTCAAGTCTTGTGATTGTATACATTGAATAAATATTTAAATATTATTTTTATTATAATCAAAAGATACACAAGTTAAATGAAATCATTGTGGATGTTTTTGCGAAAGGTCCACGTTCTGCACCATGTGTATTAGCGATTATCATGACGGGCAGTGTAGTATTGGAATAACTCAAACTTATTTTGCCTTTGGATTATACGTAAAGTTTGATTATATATTATGATATACTATGGATTCCACCTGCTTCAAGTTCGCGTCTTTCTGAGAATTATAAATTCGAAACTAACTAAACTAATTCGAAAATCTATATAGGGGTTAGCATGGCTAGGCCCTGTGGCTTCCCCGCGTGGGCGTCTGAACGCGAAGTCCTGGTCGGCCAAATTGGACGAGACCTGTCCCCGCCAGCAATTATTGCTGCCATGCTGGCGGGTGAGGAGGGATGGGGCGCAGTGGTCTCTTTCTGTGAAGCTGTAATGCTCTAGAAAGAGACCGCTGAACGGGATCGGGAGAGGGCCGATCCCGAACGTAGAGGACGTCGGCGCCGATAACAGCTGTCGACGGGGCCGCAGGCCGCTACTGGTGGCAAATTGTTTGCTGCGGTAGGGCATGGAATGGCCGGCCTGATTGCATTAAGATGCGATCGGGCCGCCATGCCGCGATTGAGGGGGGAAGAGTTCTCCCCTGCGATAGGGCCTGATTAGGCATGGTGTCAATTCGGGGAGGACCTGAAATAACATGGTCCGGGTCCTCCCCAGAGTAGGACACCTGAGGCCGGCCGTCGGGGTGGTTTTTAGTGGAATCACCACATACTCCTGGCTCATAGTCCCCGAGGAGCAGGAGATCCGAAGGGGTTTTCTACGCCGTCAACAAAAAAAAGGCCCTGTGGCTTTTATTGTTATTAGGTAGTAATCCATTCTGGATAACCTAATAACAATAAGAGCCACCAAGCACTGGCGAATTAATCAAATGATAGCTTAGCCGCCATCATCTAATAATTGTGGTAAAACTGTCGATCCAGTTGAAACTCACATAGTTTGTACTGCTAGTGCTTTTACTTCAACGATTTGTAGGTAAAAACCAGACTAATTTAAAAACCAGTAATCGAATAACAAATTGGCAAATAGTTTAATTGATTGCAGTGCATCCAGGTTGCATCATATTTCACACATTTTATGTAATGGCCGACATTTGATCGATAAATTTAATCAAGTTCGAATCTGACAATCTTTCGATAGTTTAAGCGATCGATTTTAATAATTAAATTCGCATACCGACTAATATCGTTTACGGTTTACGGATATCCACAACATCATGTTCATCGCTCTCTACAAATGAATGACTACCTATGTATAACTATGGATATAACTCTTAACAAATAACTAAGGTTCTATCATTACTGATATAGATTTAGAATAGTTTGAACTGTTAATAAAGGTATTTTTGATAAACATCATTATCGTCTAGCCGCTAAGAAAGTTTGATTACATTCTAAATCAGGTTCAGGTTTCAGATTCTGCCGTTAGGCTGAACCCGCAAGATGCTTTAACCTCTCTGTTTCAGTTTTTAAATACGTTCTATATTTTTAGTTGTTATTAAGGTATGTAATATGTATTCAGTTAATTACAAAATACATACCGATAAGTAACTAACTAGATTTATGTGTTATAGTTAGTTTTATCTGTTATATTTGTATGTGTTTCGAACATTGCTAATTGACAATTTAGGCTACCATTTTACCAGAGATTGTAGTTATAGTCAATGTAGACCTATAATAGCATTGTTTCATAAAATTAAGATATACATTTTTAAGTTTTATGTTTAAGTTTGTTTTTGGTTTGATCTAATATCTCATCACCTGACAAAAACCAGCTCTTAATAGTAAAAACATAACATACACAATTGAGTTCGATTCCCGAGTCGGACCAGATGTTTGTATAATCTGAAAATATTTGATTTGGGTTTGGGTGTTTTCTATGTATAATATGTATGTACTTACAAAAAAAAAGTATAAAAGAATTCTATCAGTCAATCTAGCTTTTATAGTACAAGCCCTGCTTAGTTTCAAACTAGATGGCGTAGTATGTCAGATGTCCGAATATAAAATATTATTACTGCTCACAAGTACGTAGTTTAAGTCTAGTCTATAAGAAGGTTATGAACGTTGAGTATTGTGGATAATTAACAGCTTTTAATCTACCGATAGATTGATAGTTTGAATGTCAACATCTAATTACCAACATACTGCTGGTAACCTAACCCCATTGCCTCAAAAGCCGCTGCTGATAAGAAAAATTGGGTTAAAAATGTTGTCGTGTGCTATATACGAAGACCTGCCTTTGTTTCCATATATATGAACGGAAATTTAACAAGAAATATGTTCTGTTTATAATTTGGTATAAAGGAGTCGTATTGTAAGTATATATGTATATGTCTTTTAACGATATTTCACTTATAACCCTATATTTTTAGAGCCAGCTCCCCTTCTAGCTTACAACTTGAAACTGATTCTTTAAATAGGTTGGAAAAACGAAGCAGTTTCTTTTAAAATTTATTCTATTTATAATTAACTAATAAAATATGTATGTTATTATGGTACAAAGGCAAGAAATAGAAGAGTTTCAACTCAAAAAGGTTGAAATCTCTTTATTGTGAGAATGTTATATTTTTTCTAATACAGGTGTTGACCCCTATTACGCCTAAAATTATTTTAGTAGGATTTGAGAACTGCAAATCTTGTATATACGCACACGGTCCATTGCACGAACAGACGTCGCTTTCATCTATAGAGAATGGACATTAAATAAAACCAGGTACTTGATCCAGATGAGTTGTCACTGTCCATTTGTCACTAGTGATATAATTTTTTAGATTATTTTTCATAAATTTATTGTAATTAATATTTTTTTTTATTACAGATTATTCGTGCGCATTAGTGGGAGATCTTTTACTTCAAGGTCACTTGTATATCACCAAGAATTACTTCGCTTTCTACTCAAATGTGTTCGGTTACGTGACCAAGGTGAGCAAGTTTAACTGAGTCAGCCTCACCCACTTGAGATAGTTAAGTCTTAATAGACTGCGTTTGCTAAATATGTAATTTATTGAAAGATACTAATCCTTAATTGCCAAGTCTCTTAGATAAGTCAAAATGGATTGTTTTTTGCGACTAAATTCGTTCAGACATTGTAAATAAGAATCACCAAAATTCATTGTGTTACTTTCAGCTCCTAATACCAACAATATCAGTTCTCCGGATAACAAAGGAGAAGGTTGCGCGTATCATTCCTAATGCCGTAGGAGTTTGTACTCGGGATGAGCGACACGTGTTCGGTTCCCTGCTTTCCAGGGATTCCACGTATAAGCTTATGATGCATGTTTGGAAAGCAGCTAGAACGCCCGAGCAAGCTTTGCCTAAACCAAAAGTAAGTTGCACAGATTCATTGAAATAAACTTTTGAAAACAACTTTAGAATGGCTCGAAAGACCTTGTATTCATGTCATTACGGTGGTCTAATTATTAGTGATATTTACTGGTGAGAGAAGTCGTCGGTTCTATTCACACGCAGGACAAATTGTGTGTGATTAAATAATATAAGTATGTTTATCACGAGTCTGGTTACCATAATACAGACTGCCTAGTTTTTTAGATTTCTAAAAATGAAATGTTTTTAATTCACGTATGTGAATGATACATATGTATGGACTTTTATATTTTGACATTGATTTGACGCTTCCTATTTTGATATGCGACACCGAAATTTGAATCTAGATAGCAAATCTAGATTCAAATTTCGATTCCTGTTTACAAATGTATAGTTTTCTCACAATTTGAATTAGTGGAAAAATGTGTTGCATTCACATGACGTTAAACTGTTAATAAAGTCTGACTCATATCTTTCTTTAGGCTTCATTAACTCTGAACTTATTAATGTCTCAATCATCTTTTATGAAACACTATGAAGTATATATTGAGATTTAGCACTGAAGTTTCATTTGATTTTTCCATTTACAGGACCTTCCAGCATCAGAAGTGGAGCTAGAAGTATCAGAGTATTCTCCAGAAGACGACAGTAGTTCAGCGGGGGGTGACCACCACGACGCTGCAACACCACCAGTCAGGCGAGAGTCTGAGGCTATAATTGCTACTGGTAAATATTTTTTTTTTAATGTTGTTTATTGTCACGTATTCTTATTCTTCCAAACATTTATTCACAGTTCTTCATGAAACAACAGGTTAGCGCCGATCATCTTCAAAAAAATAAGCATACATGAAAAATCATCATCATCATCAACAGCCTTAATTTTTCCACTGCTGGACATAGGCAAAAATAATAAAATAATATTATTTGTATACCTATTGCCAATGTATGGTAGACCGAATACAGTTTGCTTTTTAACCGACTTCAAAAAAGGAGGAGGTTCTCAATTCGACTGTATTTTTTTTTTTTTTTTTTTTTTTTTGTATATTTGTTACGCGATTACTCCGGCAATTATAAACCGATTTGAATAATTCTTTTTTTATTTAGTAGGTCATACGTCAGAGGTGGTCCCATTGTCACCAGGTCAGGATCTGATGATGGGATCCTGGGGAAATCGAGGGAAACCCTCAAATTTTGTAGGCATATACACTGTTCATCAGAAATTATCTTAATCTATGTAGATTTTTGCATCTAATGGTCACCATCTGATGTTGCTGAGCTGATGATGAAGCTGTTGATGAACGGTTTAGGAGTATGGGATCTCTGTAACAAAATTATGTAATACCATCGAATTTGAATGTGTTTGAGTCTAATTAATAAGAACTCCGATCCTATGTGATATTCAGGGTCTGATGATGGAGACGGTAAATAGCCATGGGAACTCTGTAATAAAATAAAGCAATTCCGCCGTGTTTGTGCTCATTTGATTCGTCTCGACTAGGAGCTTCATGCTAGTCGATTTTTAACCAACATCAAAAAAGAAGGGTTTTTGATTCGACAGTATGTTTTCTTTTTAACCGACTTCCAAAACACAAAAGAGGAGGTTCTCAATTCGTCTGTATTTTTTTTATGTATGTTTGTTACACGATTTCTTCGTCAATTGTGGACCGATTTTCAAAATTCTTTTTGTAATCGAAAGGGTATGCTCCCGAATTGGTCCCATTACCACCAATTCAGGATCTGATAATGGGATCCTAGAGAAATCGAGTGAAACCCTCACAATTATTGGGAATTTGACAGCCCCGACAACGTGTTTTAGCTACGAGTATTTCTTTAGCCAAACAAACCATGGCAACTGTCAGAGACTGCGCGATGTGATGCGCAGAGAACTTGCAGTATTTATGTCACCACAGTAATTTTCGTTGTATTAAGAAGAAAAGGTTGAAATTTTGTATTCTATCTTGTTAAAATAATTCGGATAGACGTTTTGTTGCTATGGATGGCATCGCATTTCGTTTGTAAGTAATTTTATACTTAATTTATTAAAATAGTTCTGGAAAAAACTCTTACATTTTGGGTGGGTCAACTAGGTTAATTTCTAACATACTAGTATTAACCCTTCTAGTTGGAACTCCTTCTATAAAATATTGAGCATATTTGTTGAGTAGTCTCACTAAAGCTTCCCTATCTTCACCTTCGAGATCAGTGTCAATTGAATCGGAAGTTATTTTGTTCGGTTGCAACTCACAAGAATTTGACTGTTTCTTAGAAAAGAATTTAAGCTGATCTTGATCAGTTTGGACGCCAATGTCATTTTCATATCCTACACTAAAAATGGTAAAATAAACCCTTTTTAAAAAAAATGTTGAACCGACTTCAAAAAACACCGACAAAGAGCACTAAAAATTAAAAAATAATTACAAATCTAAGTAAAAAACTATAATAAGTACCCTCAATGTAACAGGTAACATTATAATACCAATAGTCCCTTCTAGTCTGTTTGAAGTCGGTGCCAAGCTCGATGTACAATAAGTAATACTGGTCTATGTCAGCTTTATATTAGCACAATGAAAAATTAAGAATTCAAAATAATTCTAATGAAACATCGAAGATTTTGTTAATTAATAAAAACCAACCAGATCAATTACGTGCGCAAACTTATCAACTACTTATTAAAGAATTCAAAATAATAATATAATTGGAGATGTGCGTCCACTTTAGCTCGTTCATCATGTTTTGCGCAGCATGAAGACTGTTGCAGCTGCCGCGCTACATTCTACCATGCCTATCAAGCACCTATTTGGCTTGGCACCGACTTCAAACTGACTAGAAGGGACTATTGGTCTTATAATGTTACCTGTTACATTGAGGGTACTTATTATAGTTTTTTACTTAGATTTGTAATTATATCTCTAATAGATGTTTTTGCAAATATCGTCCCAATTTAAAAGTTAAAACAAAAACAAGAATGGAAGAGTCCAATGATGGATACTCAGAGTCGGCATTGCTAGTAGTGCACTGAACATTGAAGGTTTATTGTACCATAGCATAGCAAGCATAGTATAAAGTAGACTAAACTGCTTAGTCTTACGTTAACTCAGAAAAATATATCCGATATAGCTAAGACCACTTTAATTACTGTGCAATTAAGATCCCGCCTACCTATTGTCATTTGAGAGACGTAGACGTCAGTTTCAATAGCAGTATGTATATCTTACACATAGTACGTAGCGTTGAATTACTGATGTTCAGTAATTACTACAAAGGAATACCTCTAACAAGGCTACACGTAAACTAATTACATATATGGGTTTTAGTCGACAAACTGGAATCATGACTTTGATTATGACAGTCGAATCCAAGTAATTATTTTTGGGCTCACACACATTGTACACATGTTAGGTTTTATTTACACATTGGCGTATTGATCATTGTGCCCTAGCGCTTTGATAAAGATGGACGTGGAATCTTTTGCAGCCGGGGCAATTTAAATAGTAAAATCCTTTGATGTGTGCACGAAAAATCGACATTATTTTGTTAGCCGGCTAATGTTGTCGCCAACTATCAACATACCTTCAAGGAGACAACTCGTTGCCCCAGGACCTAGGCCCAACGTGTACAGCGGCCTAAAGAGCTAGCAACGCACCATATTAAAGTCTGTTAGTTTTCATTTAAGCATAATTTATGTAGGTACATCAAAAACTGTCCGTTATTGGTTATTGTTATGCAAAACACAGACCGTGAAATACTACAGCCAGGGATATGATGCGGTATATCGAGACATCAATACAACATTTATATCGATTTGAATTGTTTGTGTGTTGTGTTTTACGATTGGTGATGTAAAGAATATATATTCGATACAGCTATTGGTAATAAATTTCAAATGTTAGTGATGCGTTAAAGAAGTGAGGTGTTAAACTATTTTGTTCTGGTTATTATTACCCACTTATTTTTAAAATCAGAATTAGATTATGTTAGATAGAACTTTGTATAGATGCTAGATCCCCGTTACTCCTATCTTACTTGGTATGATATATACGAGTATGTTATTTAAAACAGTAGTTAAACATATTATTATGTGTTTGTTATTGAATTTTTACTTGAAATATTATAACATTTTAGAATTTCTGCCATAAGCAAGTGGTAATGTATATGTGTTAGGGGAGCTGTTAGGAATTTCAAATACATTTTTTTATAATGCTATTAGTTTTAAGAATTTAAAGACTATACTTGTGTGAATCACAAGTATGTTAAGATTTATAAATAGATACCTACTTAACATTTTATTTCTCAATGTTATACAGCAATGATATTTTAATACTGTTTATTATTATGGTTATACATACTGGTTCTAGTTTATGACAAGTTAAATGGTGATTTACTTTTTTTATTTAATTAATATCATGTATTATTAATTATATACTGGTCTCTCTCTGACTCGCTCTTTCTCTCTCTTTTATAATTATATATATGTAAATATCCGTATACATTGTTTGAAGTCAAACAATAATACGATTTGTGCTGTAAGTATATGTACTGAGTATATAACGTTGATATAGTGCGCAAAAATCCACATGTTTTTTAAGGTGAATTTTATCAGTAAACTAACAGCGTATATTTGTGTAGCGTCGGGTGCGGCCGTGATCCAGCCGGCGCTGCTGACGGGCGGCGCGGGGGCGGCGGCGGGCGCGGGGGCGGGCGCGTCCCCCCCCCGCTACTGGCGCGCGCTGTTAGCCGCCGCGGCGCTGCTCACGCTCTCCGCGGCGCTGCTCGCTTACCGCCTGTACCACGCCACGTACCACGCGCAGGTCAGTTAGCCACACCACTTACATATATGACGCTAACGTTTTATTTTACTTTTCTTTATATTAAGAGATAACTGCATCGACACCGCGTCGATCGATAGTCGTGTCTGCTTGTCTGAGATCGATAAGCGAGCCACTACTACGTGTGACTCTGTGCTATTCATAGAAATGTTAAAATTAAAAATAATATAAAACAGTTTCTTACTGTTAGTTTACTAGTTATCATGAGAATGTATGCTTATGTATTAACATCTTGTTGAGTATTCTCAACGGAATCCGAAAAAAATAATACAAATTAAAAATACTACGTATGAAAAAAGGCAATGAATATATTACATATAGTAAAAAATGACAATTGAATCTTCAATTTCTATGTAAAATATTCACTTCACTCTAAAAATATGTATTCTTTTGCTTATAATACCTTATTAGCAAAACTGTGACGAATGGACATTTATTTTGCAAAATTTCATACTTTAATACGTAGTTATATGAATGTTAGCATGCTTCACGACCTCGACGATTGTCGCCCAGGTTTTACATCTCCATGTCAGAATACCAGAAACCGTAACAAACAAGAATTATTTTGCTCGTGCATTGTGCGACACGCTGCATTACTTCAAACTTGTTATCGTGTGACTGTTGTCGCCCGAATAGTCACTAAACGTATTCTAGACTAGAATCTTCAGAAACAAAAAAATGCGGTAATTTGTATGGTGGTCTAAAATTTGTCTTCGCAACGAATATATGTTGAATAGAAGTGGTTAGTCATGGATGATCAAAACATTGAGTCTTAAAAAAACTTAGGTTAAGTTTGATGATTTTTTAATGTGACTGTAAACTATTGTATTAACTTTTAGGCGATCGACGGGGTAAAGAAACTTAGTGTAGGTATTAAATATGGTTGAGTTGAATGATCTGATAATTTATAATGGACGTTTGTCTCTGTGCGTGGTGCAGTCGGAGCTGGCGATGCTGTCGGGCTCGGAGCTGTACTCGGAGCTGGTCCGCTGGCGCACGCGCCTGCACGGCCGCGCCGCCAGCGAGCTGCACGCCTTCCTCACCACCAACCTGCTCCTGCTCACCAAGGTACCGCGACCTACCTGCCATTGACCATACGGTCTTACAGATAACATCGACTATATGGACTCTCAAACTCAAAATATTTTTATTTCATAAAATTATTTCAAATCGTCTTTTATGTAGACTCTAAACTCATAAGTCATATATTATTATATAGATCAACACAACAACAACACACAATAGCAACGATCTCCGTTTTGTCAAATATCTAATTAACTAATATCTATTATATGCCTGTGTTAATCTACAACCACCCGTTGCCAAAGGGTTGAGCCCATGAGCAGAAAGGGCATACAAACTATCCAAAGTCTTGTGTTCCCAAATAAATGCACACACTTCAATGCTCTACAAACGAACCTACAGAACTCTGCGTCAATTATTAACACAAAACAATATTATGACAATAAACACAAATTATAATAAAGAAATAAAAAACTATTGAATTAAAGAAATTCTTTATTTGAATCTGATAAAGGTTTGTTTATTTCAGGTACGGCAATCATTAGAAGCGCTATCGGGCGTCATCCTGACCGACATGGCCCACACCGGCGCGGGAGATATCAACATGGACGTACCCAACGAAACTGTCTTCAGTTAACAAACATCTTTAGGCTAAATATATTGAACCGTAGTCAGTATACGGTTCTCAATAACATACGGCTCATCCAAAGTTAGGATTTAAAATCACATTTGAAAAGTCTTCGTTTGTACCGTATGAGTAGCCAGTTTAGTCGTCAATGTCCTACAGAAACGAGTCAGTGAGACGAAGTGATACTAGAATTATATATTAAATTATTTATTTCATCCATTTTATCTCTTCATAAAGCCGGACGTCACGATTTTTATTTTTAAAATCAGTGACGAGACCTGCTTAATCTTTTTTAATTTTCTTTTCTAAGTCCGACTTTAAAAAATACGAAATATGTTAATACAGTTTGAGCATTTCTATTTGTACGTTACTTTTGTATAAATGTGTCTGTTTTCTCAAACGATTTAAATGATTTAATCGAATGATATATTAAAAATGTTGTACAAAATTCGTAACTAAACATGATGAAACTGTATTTTAATTATCATAAATCATTTATATATCATGTATTTTGTAGATAGATGTCGGTGAAGGATCCATGTGTCTGTGAGGCATAGCTACGTCATATTAATTTGTGTCAAACACAAACTTTTAGCATAAGATGCGGGGGTGATGTGGGTGATGTGGGGTCGCGGCAAACCTGTGGATTGTGTTTCAAGATATTTATGCTGGCTATTTAAAGTAAATATTTAATTTAAAATGGTTATTTAAGTTGTAACAGAATCGCATTTGTTCCTCTCGATATGAAACTATACATGTTCATAATCACAATTTTATATAACTTCAGCAATTTATTCGAATTGTATAAACTTACAAAAAATATTAGTTTTCATTCTGGCATCAAACTGGTTTTTATTTAGCAAGTATATCAGCAATCTATAGGCAGTAAATTTGGGACCCCTGCGATTTGTCGCGATGTGCTTAATCTATACATAGTTAGCACTTTGTAGTCTTGTACTAATAATTCTAATACGCGATCTTTAGTATGTGACAAGTGTGTATAATTTAATTTTATATGTACTTGTCACAACCCTATACGTGTTTAGAAATTATTATGTTGTGTAAATCGTTGCTGTTTACTAGTATTGTAATATTCCTAAATGATAAGTAGTAGTGGAATTTGGACATTGATGTCCGAACTATTATGTGTTATTTATGGTGATACAATGATGGTGACGGTATTTGAAGCGGGTTTCTGAGGTGTATACAATTGTGAATGTGATAGCGTCAGAAGGAAGCGGTGCTAGTATATAAATAAGAGTTTAATGTAACCAACATTCCTTTTGAGCAAGTATCCGATGTGTTTTGATAGCCCAATTTCGCTTGTTTTAATCTTTTGCCCTATTTCTTAATATTTCTTGCCAATGTATGTATTAAAGATAGCCAAGAAAACAACATTAGTCGTAGATCATATGTTTTCCCATCTAATATTTCTGTGTCGGTCGCTTAGGACGAGTTTTAAATAGTATTTTGTTAAGCTCCGATCAAATTTCTCTAAACAATTTGCTGCTACATCGACAATAATATTATTAGTATGATCAATAGTTTCAAATCTAATCGATACAGAAATCGTTAGTTGCACGAATAACGGTCAGTGTAAGTCGAGCGTTGCAGCACTATTACCGAACCAAATGCATTTAATAAGAAATACATATATTCAGTTCAATAATCGTTGTAGTTGCAATTCTTCTTCTTTCAATGTTAATTATTCTAAATATTTCTTTAAAGAAAGAGTAATCACGACCGAACGTTCTACCTCTGGCTAAGAAACAAAATTTGGTGTTTTTCGAAACTGTCTGTTAGCAGGTAGCAGGGTATTTGTTTAACGATGCTAACATTTTCTCTATGTTTACACGAAGGTTTGCAACGCTCGGTGAGCCACGATCTGATGAGCACGACTCAGTAATTACTTTAAGTAAACAGAACCGAATGTTCAGTTCTAAGACCATTTTGAAACTTTTTCATAGTGTTTGTTGAGTTAAATAAGTAATTACGTAAATAGGTATTTGTAAAGATCGCCTAGTTACTGTTTTATTATTCTAGTCTTTGGTAACGCTCAAGGATTTGTTCAATGGTTCTATGGGTTAGGTACTTAGGATATGATTTTAAATTTATCGTAAGTGGGTTAAAGCATGTGCAATCAAAATTGTAACAAAGATTATAAGTTGTATCCTAACAATATTATTTATAGTAGTTCCAAATACCGTTGATGTTATTTTGTAAAAAGTATAATTATTTTTATATTAAGGTAAATATTTTGTACATTACAAGAAATATAGACATGCTAAATAATTGTATTAATTGGAACAATTTACACGATATTCATGTATTATAAACACATACGTTTATTGGCTGTTGTTAATGATATAATTTACTTGTTTTAAGGGCCTAATTGTTATAGGTTACCATCCGTGCCAAAGTCGGCCAACGTATTCTAACTACAAATTAGACCTTTATTGCTACAATAATTTAGAATCTAATACAAAATCTCCAAATTTTTATAACCTAAATACGGTTTATACAATGAATAACGTCCGAATAAGTGAAACTGTCAAGTATTTTAGAGTGTAATTCCCGGGCCTTCGTCATGAAACGATTCATTTCACGTTAGATTACCGAGTTGCTTTGACAGTTCTCATTTTGCAGTTCATAACATTCATGTATGTACTGTACCTAAATAGAAATAAAAATAAACAAATACTATATTCGTTTGGGAATTTTGTATTAGATTACTTGAGTTTTACTGTTAGTCATAGAGACTGGAGGATAGTGGCTAACTGTGTAATCGACTATTTAAACGTTTAGTCCATTTATAGATGCAAATAGTTATATAGTCGTGCTCAGGCGTCTCCACAAACAACATTATTTATATTTCATGTTATGTAAGGCTGTTCACTTCCTATGAGTCATTAATCGGGAATAATTAATATTGCCAAAGACAAAAACATTAGACTAATTGAAATATCAAGTAGGAATAGTAAGGTTTGTACAATAGCTAGTTGTAGGCAGTCTAGTTATCGAACAATTATATTTTCATTGTATTGTCATTGTAAATACGACGATTTTACGTAAAGTTAATGTTTGGAAGCCGAGGAAATGTAATTTTTTTTAAATTATTTTAAATGAATATTTATTTAAATCATGTTTTAAAATGAGGGATCATGGTAATCATGCTTGCTGGTGACATTCAAATGGTGATATGAAAATGTGTACAACTGTGCAATTTCAAAGTAAAAACATGTGATTTGTAAATATTGGAGTAATGCCACAAAGACACAACGTTGGTTTTAGACTCAAAGTTGTGTTTAGACTTTTGTCTTTTGTTAACCTCATAACATTGACCATATGATTTATACATGGTCCGTTACACATCAAGCGTGGTCAAAATTACCCCAATGCACCTTAGGGTGAGGCCAAACGAGCGTAATTATTGGAGATGTGAGTCGCATTGAATGAGCCACAGAATTTTCGCTGCATTCAGGTTTATACAAAAGTCCTGTTTGTGCCATACGGCGTCGCAAAAGTGTGTTGTCTGCTGACATAGGCCTACCTCAAGGTTCGCCACAACAACTGCTGACTCATGCGAATTATTCCAACCGAGTGATGCAGGAGAGGGAGCGGAGCGATCACAAACTTTGGAAAGCAACTGAAGTTACGTCTGTTCTTTGAACGTAAATGTCTCATAAACCCTCATTAGGCCTCACCTTTAGTGTGTTTTATCGGTGACCGCGCACTTGTAGTCTACTATTGTCTAGAAATAATATTTTTTAAAATTTAAAATGAATGTTCCATATTTATTTATTAGTCTGTCTGTGAAACTGTGATAGTTAGAGAACATCTTCGATCTTCGACACGTAGTACTTTTCGATATGAAATACAAGCACACAATCGCACGTTGGACATCACACTTTGCAGAGGTACATGATAAATATTAGTCCATGAGGAATCAATGCATTTTATTTACATCCCTGTGATAAAGAAGAAACTGTTTTGCAATTTAAACCCAACAGTCAGTTCTAATGGCAGTAGTGTTTGAGTTTGTACTCAATACAATGATTGTATTATCTCCACGTGGACGTAGTACGCGAGCTTAGTTAAAATAAATATTAGCGCAATATCATTGATGGGTGATAGAACTGATTAATTTGTATTATTGTGTTTATGTTTACCACATAGGAATTGTAAATGGACGTATGCATGATTTTGCGTTTGTATATTTTGTTTCCAGTTGTAATTCGTTTGTTGAGTTTTTGTAAATATTAGATACATGAGTTAACTTAATATTGTTGTTTTATTTCAACCTACGTTCGGCCCCGAAATAAAATTGTCGCGCTGTGCCTTTCAATATGTTTTATTAAATTAGTTTAGTTTAGTGTATTTCCTTTCCATTTCATATGAAGATACCCAACACAATTTACACTTCGCTCCAATATCATTTTTTACAAAAAATGACTACACAGATGATAACTATATATGACTTTTTTGGTGCAGTGTTCTAAATTTCACTTTGTTTAAAAATATACGTTACATGAAGAAGAGATAAAATATCTTATGAATAAAATAGTAATCTATCAGGAATAAACACAAACGAAAAGTTAGTAGGTACTTAGGTACATGAAATAAATAAAACCGTGTTTTACGAGTATATTAACAAATTCAACCGCCAGAGAAACGTTTACAATAAATTTGCTTACATTTGACATTGACGTTTTCTAAAAATATAAACTTAAACTTACTTTTCACTGCTTCTTCAAAATTTGATAAAATGACAAAAGATGCTACACTGAAACATCTTACTTCTGCCACGACTCCTGACTGTTCTCCCTTCTTCTTTAGTCAACTTGCAGAGTGTGATGTTAGGAAGAGCATAGTGTTTATTACTTCGAATGAGTGGGTTCTGATTGTCTAAGCCACAATATGATCCTCCCAATCCTCGATGAAATCCTTCCTGTTGCTTGTTATATGCTAAACTATTCGATTACCTACAGCGTATTTCCAACCCATGTAAT